GCCAAAGTCACCCATGAGCTTCTTATCCTTCTTGTCCTCTTCCTTATGAGAACCGTTTACACTCTCCTCTTTTACCTTCTTAGAGTTGTAGCTTCCTTTCCAGTTTCGGTTCTTGTTCTTGTTGAAGTTCTTCTTTGCGAACCTCTTTGGGCTGGACACCATCATTGCGAACTCTTCTTTAGAAAGTTCACAATCGAAGAGTTCAAACTCCAAATCATCATCTTCTGAAGCTTTCTTACCCTTAGCTATGACTGCCAGCGAGCCTACACCAGAAACAATTTTCCCTTCTTTTGTCACTTCATCCTCATGTGATCGAAGGATACCAACCAGCTTAGCCAAAGTGTAGTTCTTAAACTGCTCACATGCTTTAATTGTGGAAACAACAAGTTTCCATTCAAACCTTAGGCCATTCATGAACGTGACTTTTTGCTCGATAAGCTCACGTCTAATTTTATGTTTCATCATCCAATAGAGAAGATGATTGTATCGATTGAAGGTCTAATCTAAACTTTCTTTAGGCTTTTGCACAAATGCTCCAAACTCTGACAATAGTAATGTTTGAGTCGAATGCTCCATATCAGCGTAAGTAGAGTATAGTTCCTTAAGCCTATCCTAGATACTTTTTGTTGTATCACATGAAGTAACCAAATGAAAGGTCTCTGGTGGTAGAGCAACCCTAATGATCCTCATTACCTTGACATTGCTGATTACCTTTTCCTTCTCATATTGTGGAACATCCTTTACTTCAAGAAAAAGCTTGTTATAATCTGCCTGAGTTTTTAACTTCTCTTCTAGTTCCAGTATGAACAAATGCCCCAACTGCGATGGCATCCCATATTAGATAGCCATTGTCTTCCAGACCAAGGACGTAGTCTTCAAATGCAGCGCCGAACATTCATATTCACTGGGGAATAGAATAGGAATCCTTGTTGTGGATCCAATGCCGCTTGAGAGATTTATCGAGTTAATGTGGGAATCCTCTGAATGCATGTTTGTATATTGAACGGAACCTATATGAACCAGATGTATAAACAAGATTAGGGTAATATTAAGATCAAAATCAGCATCAAAAAATGAACAAACGATGATGACGGTTGACACTAGATCCAATAATAGTGGAAACCCTAAAAAGCTTCTTTCAACTGAAGAGATGTGTATAGATTACACAGTTTCCTGCTCCGATACCTATTGATAGAATTGAATCCTAGTTAGATCAAATAGATTCAAACAGGTAAAGAATAAGAGCAATTTAGATGGATCAAAATATGTTGAATGATTATAAGCCGCAACCTCAGAAGAACTCTTTGAAGAATTGCTACTGTAGAGGCGTATAGGGTTACAAGAATATTTCCAAAGTTAAGAAACATGGTGCATACATGCACCTTAAATACTGTAACCCTAATGATAAATGACGACAAAGCTTGTTTACAAAATGGACTAGATAATTAAACACAATGACGCAACTCAAATTCCCAACAATGATGACCTTATCAGTTTGCATAAGCACACACCCCATACACTGATGCGAGGCCTCATAGTAGACGAAAAAAAAATCCTCCGTTCCTTCCGAACTACATATCATGTGTTTCAGTTTTCGGAACGCAGCTTCATGTCTGTCCTCCCATTTGAACTTCATGTCCTTCTGCATCAGTGTAGTGAGGGGTTTGGCTATTTTAGATAAATTCTCGATGGATCTCTGGTAGTATCCTGCCAATCCTAAGAATTGCCGTATATTGGGGTTATAGGTGCTTCCTAATTCTTTATCTCCTTAATATTGGAAGGGTCTACGTGAATGCCCTTATTGCTGACCACTTGTCCGAGAAAATGTACTTCTCTGATCCAAAATTCACATTTTGAGAATTTGGCATACAATTTCTCCATTCTTAGTAATTCCAAGACGATGCTGAGGCGTTGACTGTGTTCTTCCTCGATTCATGAGTATATCAATATTCATGGATAAATACAATCACAAATTTTTCCATGTAAGGTTTATAGACATGGTTCATTAGATCCATGGAGACTTTTGGAGCATTGGCAAAACCAACAGGCATAACCAGAAAATCACAATGGTCATAGCAAGTCCCAAACACCGTCTTTGGGATGTCTTCCTCTTGTACTCGAAGTTGATGGTCCCCTAACCTTAAATCAATCTTTAAGTAGAAGTTGGATCCATGTAGTTGATCGAATAGATCGTCGATCATTAGGAGTGGATATCAATTCTTAATTGTCAGTTTATTCAACTATTGATAATCGATGCATATTCTAAAGGTCCGTCCTTCTTCTTGACGAACAACACTGGGGACCCCCAAGGTAAGAAGCTTGGTCTTATGAATCCCTTATCCAAAATATCTTGAAGTTGTCTAAATAGTTCTTGCATTTCCGAATGGGCTAACAGGTAAGGATATTTTTCTGCTGGATCTGCCCCTGGAACTTGGTCGATTCGGAATTCAACCTCGCGAATTGGTGGTAATCCAGGTAAGTCCTCCGTAAATACATTGGGAAAATCACATAATTGGGGTATGTCTTTGATTTCCTTATTCTCCCTCCTCTTATCTACAATGTGGTCTAGGAAAGCATGATATTTCTTGTGAAGGTATTTATACGCCTTCATGCAAGAGATAATTCAAAGGTATCTGTTTGGATTATCTTTGTTGATCACTAAGGATTCCCTATTGGGTAAAGGTAATCGTATTGTCTTGTCATGGCATAAGATCTTGGCTCAGTGTGGCGATAACCAATCCATGCCAATTATGACATCAAAATCTTCGATGATCATATGCATGAGGTTGACGTGAAAGGTTTGGTTGTTGAGAGTTAGAAAGCAGTTTTCTAGTAGTTCCTGAGTACTAATAGATTCTATGTTGGCCATTTCTACTACATAAGGCTCATCTAGGTTCATAGATTTATGGTTTAAAATTTCTTTAAATTTAGGTGTAATAAAGCTTCTTTTAGCACAAGAATCAAATGTTATAGATGCGTATAAACCGTTAACAAGAAATGTACATCTTACAATGATGGATTCCTGGATGGCATCCCTTGCGCCAATCACAAACACTCTTCCCCGAGCATTTCCTACATCATTCCTCAACTTCGGGCAGTTCCTATTGATATGACCAGTAATCCCACACTCAAAACAGGCATGATTATCTGAAACGACAGACACCCATGGGTTATTTGTGGTGGAAGGTTCAACCATGGGTAGTCTACAGTACTTGATGGTGTTCCCCCTTTGATTTCACATGGTATTGTGCATGCAGTTTTCGGAGTGGTGGAAGTGGCACAAGTTGCATTTCAGGTGTTTACCCACGTACTGTTTTTGAGGTGAGGGGGTTGCGGTTGGTGTTGGGACTGGACTAACGATGTATGTCATGACAATTTCTTGTTTCTTTCTTGGAGCTTTTTTCAAGGTACCCTTAATTCCTCTTCCGAATTTGCGCTTGTTTTCCCCTGACTTCGGGAGGTCAACTCTTTGGACCAAAGTGCCTCATCTTATCTTTGGTTGGTTAAGTTGTATGCTAACCTCTTGGTATTGTCATACGTTATTGGTCGAGATACTATGACCAATCCTTAGATGGGTTGAACCAATCTCCATATTTATCTTTCAACCTTCTTATACTATGGGTTTACGAAGCTTGGACAAAGGGTCGCAAGATTATTGAACCTATTGGTGTAGGTCGAGATTTCAGCGTCATCTATCGTTAGGTTCCACAACTCTTACTCCAATCACTGCATTTCCTCTAAAGGAAAATTCAATGAGCATTTGCTTAAGTTGCTGCCAAGATAAGGCATTATCATTGGCAAGGCCCATGGCCTTGACGTGGCTGTTCCACCAATACATGGCCTTATTCGCAAAAGTGTAAGTAGCAAACTTCACCTTGCATCCCTCAGCACAATAACTGATTTCGAAAATAGGCTTAGTCTTTTCGATCCATCTTGTGATTCCTACGACTCCGTCGTTCCCATCAAATGTTTTAGGCTTGCAGTTTATAAAGTCCTTGTACATGCATGCTCTTGGAGCACCTTGATTGTTTCCTTGGGAGCTTTCGCCTCCCACTCATATCCCAGAGTTAGTGTAGCGATTGGTTTTAAGTGTTTCCAGAGCATCAACTACTCGCTGCTCAACCATGGCTTCAATGTCCGTGTGGTCTAGAGGTGGGTTGCTCTGATCATACTAGGCATCTTTCTGTATTTGGAGACATTGGTTGGATCTAGTGAGTTTTAGGGGTGCCATTTCTTACTTCCTAAAGTTAATGTTGAGACGTGAGTCATTTGATCACATTTTTAGGTAGCGTTGTCGAGAATATGGTTTCATGATGGTGTGTTAGTGTTAGAGTTAAATGAAGCAATAGAGTAATAACACAACAACATACATTTTATACAACCATATATGTATAATATGCATCATAATATATTACAATGTGACCACCAGAAAGGAGCGGTTAGAGTAAGAAAATCTTTGAGGTTACAAAATAAACAAGTACGTTTAGAGAGCTTTTCAAGTACTCTAACCCAAAAGTATAAATGTGTCCATCCTAGCCATTGTGCTAGGGAAAATCCTAGTATCCACAATACACAATCAAAAGAACCATCAACCGAACTAGCTGCCAATAAGCATAATCTATCCAAACATCTGGCAATGAAATCCTTGACTCTACCATGTCTACCTGAAGATCCAACCTTTCGGTGTGACTGATCACCTCCTCCAACACCTGATGATGAAACTAAGCCTCATCCCTCGCCTCTTGTAACTAGTCCTTAATAAGTAGGGTCCTCATCTCCATAACATCCTACTATGTTATTTGCCTCAAGGTCATCCTCAAAAGAAAGAGGCCAAAGTCCATCGCTCCTATACGATCCGAGTGATAGGCAGTCCATGGTTAAAGGAAGGAGATAGCCTACTTGACCAGAGTATCTGGGTGGGGTAGGTACGGTAGAGGACCCCCTACCTCAAAGTGCGAGCCGATATCCTCCACATATGACCAAGATCTAATCTGGTGCATCTATATGTAGTCCCCACATGGTTTCTTTGTTTTTTGTGGTGATGCTGCTCCTTTTCGAGAGGGAATAACAATAGTCTTGCTCAGGGTTTGTTTCACCTGAGTACCAGTAAGGTGTGCTCTGAAGGATCGATGCGAAGGATTGGGGCGGGGCGATGTGATCTCCAATGAGGTGGAAATATCTTCCTCTTCCTCATTCGTCTCATAATCTGAGTTGAGAAGTTGAAGTCCAACCGATGTGTGGTCGGGTAAATGAACAGGCTCGGAGGGTTCCGGGCTAGAGTGATCAGATGGTGTATAGTCGAGATTGGACGGGTGCTCAACTGGACTATAGTCATGCTCGGTGTAACCACTATCATCCGTAGGCTCCCCCTCATAAGCCATGATCATCGCTGGGATGCCGGTAGGGTCAGAAGCATGATGTACAACATGCTCCTCTGCTGGTAGGGAAGTTGCACTCCACAATCCTGCGCCTGCCATACTCTCGGGCAAACCTGCATAAGACATCAATAAGGAAAAATTTTTATGAGATATGTGAAGATCAATTAAATACAATATAATATCCAATTATAAGTATGTAATAGATAGTACCCGTAACTCCTGAGTCTCCCTACTATGTCGTAAGTAACAAATAGTGGTTCCTAAGCAAGAAATCCTCAAGGGTAGATGTCGTTAAGCCAAAAATCCTCAAACTTAGATGTCGTTAAGCTAGAAATCCTAAATAGTAGATGCCTTTAAAAGAAATCTCCAAGCGCAAAATTCTTGAATTAAACATCGAATCCAGAAGTCCTCAAGCGTTTAGATTGCCAACCACCGTATCCATGTTTGGTCGTGCGTCATTCGGACCACAATAAAACTTAGTTGCACATTCTAGGTCTTTTTGTGGTATGGCCGTTGTACTATATCAACTCTAAACATGGTTTTTGACCTAAAATCCTGAGCTGTGATTTCATGGATTCATGTTTGTGGGTAGTAGATATATTTTAGTGAGCATATTTATATTGCTCTATATCTTTGAATCTTTGTTGGGTTGTGTATATTTTAGTAATTCTTAGGGTTTTTTACTCCAAGAGTATCAAGTAAGGATCATCCGGGTGAGAAGTATCGGAGGGTAGGACCATTTTAGCATATAGTTGTTTTGAAATCTAGCACCCCAAGCGATAGTTCAAACTAGTCACCTCTCTCGTAAGTAGTCAAGAGCAGTGTAATTAATATTGATACTTTTTAATTTGTTAGGATTAAATGGTTAAATCTAAATAGTGTACAACCCTAAATTTAGTTGTATTTCCTAAGGAATCATTAGTTCGCTATAATCTAAAGTTCTGATACAAATTTGTCACACCCTTGGCCGACGGGTGAAATGCTGAGCTGTGCGACGTTAGAATGTTGAATTTCAGGCCACAAACTACATTGAATAATACACTAATATATTGAACAACATTACTATTTATTCATTAAATAAAATATATTCCAAAGCTGTTCGATGTACAGATAGGTCACAAAAGCAAATTACAATAGTAAGGCACATAGACTCCGAGCTGCATCACCGGGGTTACCTCCCTCTTCATCCGGGTTCATTCTCCTGAGAATACATGTGGTTTTTAAAAGGTCAACATAATATTGTTGAGTCCACATGTTTTATTATTATAAAACGTTGTGTGGTTATTTTAGTTATCTTCTTTATCTAAACTCACTTTCTCGAGTTTATGTGTACTATCACTACCTTTTTAGTTTGTTTCATAATAGTAGTATAAGATAGTTAGTTTTAGTTTAACAATTTTACGATGAGTTCCTATAATCAAGCTATGTCTGTTGAGTGTTCCCCAAAAACCACAACACTTCATCGGACGTCGCAAATGTGTTTAGAAAGCTATGCATGCTTCTACTTGCAGTCAGGTTGTAGCTAGCAACCACAGGTGGGAGTGTTAATCTCGTATATATTTATACATATCTTTCCAACTCACTTAAGATTTTATAATTATAGGTCGCTGGCTAGCTGAACGTATTTCAGCATGTTGATGAACCACGTGTCATTTAACTCTTGTGGTGGGGGCCTCCCCTGGTCGATCGTGTTGTTATTCCTTGTTATACTTATACGAGTTACTTATTATATATATTATTCATCACACACACACACACACACACACATATATATATATATATATATATATATTATCAAGTTAGTGTGATTTTCATAGCCGAGTATTTGGGGCAGAGTAACAACTAGGTACCAAGTTTAACCAAATGGTGGCTATAATAACAACTAGAGTAGTGTTTCCTGGCAACTGGCAAGCATATTGACTAGGTATGATATTTTCTTTCAGTGTGAATCAGTATAACAACTAGGCATAATATTATTTCTAAAATTTTGGGCAGAGTATCTATCAGCATAATGGATAGGTTTCATAGGTTACAAAAATGTGTGGCGGAAAAAACTTAACCGTAAGTTCACATGCAACCTATTGGATCTAGGTTTACTCTATTGATTGCAACAAACAATTGACCATCAAGAACGCTAGGAATACCCTACTATTTTTTTTCGAAAAAACATAAAGGATTTTAGGGTTCACATACTTTTTGATTATTATAGTAAATAATCAAGAATTCCTTCTTGAACAAGCTTTAGAAAGCAAGAACTAGAAATCTCGTGCCTCTAGTGGTTTGTACCCAAACCTTAGCAATAGATGACTTTAGAAGAGGAGGGAGGAAATAATTTTCAGCTCTAAGGCTCTTAGAGAAATGGTCGAAAATTCTAAGACCTTTTAGGGTATTTATAGGTGGTTAAGGTATCCTAAGGCAACCCTAATTTGAATACTACTATTTAACACGAACACCCACCCTGACTGAGAACAAAAGTTGTCTCGATCTATTTAAAATCCGATGTCACTATATCTAATTACTCTTAACGTATCATTTCCTCCAAGGACTAAAATCATATCGGAAGGTTTGTGTCAATCGGATACACTTCAAGTATAACAAACAAGAACAAAATTACTAAGAAAATAAAGAACAAAAAAGTAAATAACACAGAGGATTCATCAAATGTCTTTCACCAAGAAATGGCTTGTCATAGAGACGGTCACCAAGACATTAACGATACCAAGTCGTTCTACATTAGGGTTTCACCCTATTGTTGAATATATACTAATTTATACAAATATGTCCCTTAATTGAAGGGATTGTATCTAATATATACTAAGAACTGAACTTCATAATAAAGATATTGGATATGCTATCTATTCTATACTTATCTGTGTCCTTACCTAATATACAAAGGTTACATTGGATAACTATCCACACGTTGATGCTGATAAGGCTTGAGGCGTTGACGTTGATGTCGATGTAGACGTTGGCGTTGGTAGTTAGCGTATAGCGTGTTTAACTCACCAGATCATAAGGTGTGACCTTACAATCTCCCCCTATATTATGATGTCAAAACTAATATTCTTCTTCGGAGTCATCAAAAGAACCATTATAGAATTTTTCAGCTTCTTTCAAGATCTCGTGCGGGCTTAATCCATATGAATTCATCGACTTTAAGTTCTTCTAATGTCTTACTGTACCCTAGAGATATCAACACACAATATCCTTCTTTCCAGTTCAAAATGACTAAGTCCTTCCTTGCGAAGATGACACAAATGTCCAGTGGAAGTAGCAGGAAGATCATCGGTACGTTGAAAGCACATGTGATTTTGACTGTCAAGATAGAAAATGCCATGCTCTGGTTCTTGAATGAACAGGTACTTAACTGGTTCAACACCCACTGGTAGTTCATTGTTGATGTAACAAGTTCCCTAAGGAAGAAGAAACTTAGTGTTCTCGGACTTTTTGGGGGTTCTTGTTCTTCCTAAGGTGGATGATCTAAAGGGACCAACTGATGAAACAATATTAGCTTCTTGACTTTGTTGAGTAGCTGCTGAATTACCAACTTCACCCGTTGAGCATTAATACCTTTGTGTTTGTCAATAATTTCTTGAATTTGTATCCACTCGATGTAACCAAATTTTACTATCTCACGAACAAATACAACCTCATTGTATTCATACTCAAACTTCTTCTTGAATAAGTGAAGCTTTAGAGACTCGTTCCTTGGTTTGGTGCACCTAACCTAAATGATGGGATCATGCTTTGGTCTACGAGTAAGAGCATCTCCTAACTTCTTTTTGTTGATCCCGTGGTTCAGCTCTAAAAACCTGTATTGTTTGTGCACACTATTATTGAAGAGCTGAATTTTATTAACTTGATCATTAGTGCTTCGAACATCAACACTATCATTAGCGGAAGTAAAATCTTGATCAAGTTTTGCATACAAATGTTCTCCTTTTCTGGTTTCTTTTCTTTCTTGAATAACAACATTATTTTCTATCACGATTTCTCTTACTTCATCAACAATTATACCCTATACTTCAGCTAAAACATTTAGATAAAAAATGAGTTTGCTTTCCTTGGAAGGAGGAGGTACTGACGGATCACTAACAATAGAAGGACTTCCAACTTCAGCATCATGAGCTCCCCCTGAGAAGGAATCCTTCCTCTTTCGAGGATTGAGCTGATCATTATTAGACTCAATGTCACTATTAGTTCCTTGAGGAATCTCCCACTCAAAGTATGAATCAAAGTAGACAACATTCAAAGGAACAACAGGAATAACAACTTGTGGCATGAATCCCATATCAAGAAACCTTTCATAGTCATCAGTTTTTGATTGATCACTAACATCTGGGATAGGCTGGTCATCAGTTGTTGCATCATCGTATGGAATGTCAGCAACAACAATTTCCTTTTGAAGGTCAACTTTAACCCTTCCAGCTTCAGAAATCTCAAGATGAGATGGAGTTGATACAATCACCACCATTTGAAATTACTGATCAGGACTCTCTATATTATTCTCCATATTTTTTGGCAACATCAGAATGGGGAGGAGAACCAGGAGGAGAGCGAGGAGGGGAATAAGATGGTGGAAGAGGTGGAGGTGGAGGTGGAGGAGGATAATCACATGGAAAAGATGAGTATATCCAGTAACCATATCATCATAATCATCATCACCCAAGGCCATAAATCTCTTCATATCAGCCACATCCTATTCAACTTTAGACAATCTTTCTCCCAACGATTGAGTTGTTTTTACTAATAGAGAAAATTGAGAGAGTACAGTTGTGTCAAAATTGGAGCTTGATTCCCCTTGATAAATAGTAGCAGTCTGAATATGTGTTGGCATAGGAGGAACAGTCTCAACTTGTTGATGAGGAGACGTTGTTCTTGGAGAAATTACATCTTGAATAAGTGGCTCAGTAGTTTCCACAAAATGTGGGGTTGATCCACGTTGTAGAACATCATCTGTAAATGGAGTGGATGAAGAAGTAGATAAGAATCGAATGTGTTTGTTCATCCTTGGAGGAGAGTTCATTCCTTGAACAAAGACTTCTCCCTTATCAGTGGATAATTCATCTTTCTCATTATCAGTTTCTTCTTCATCAACGCCTTCTTCACTATCAACCTCATCATCCCCTTCTTCAGAGTCAGAGGATTGAATAATGTAGGTATTTACAATCCATTTTGCATCCTTACAATTAGATGCAAATCATCTTCATAAGGACCATCATTGATGATCTTTGAGAAGAGGGCAGGAATGGGAATGGTGATCCCATGATTTTCATCATATCCTTCCTCACAAGCCAAAATCAGTCTAAACCAACAGTGATAGGGAACATACACTGGCTTCTTATTCCTATTGATGCCAATAATCCCTGTTAAGTACTTCCATCCAACACCAAAACACTAACGAAGAGTGTATTTTTGTGGATCACGAGAAGTCCTCTGAAGAGAAAAATTATACCCTAATCTTTCACAAACGAACTTGCACTTTTCTTCTTAACGAGTTTCAGAATAATTTTATAATCGAGGAAGACGAAGATCAGTCCAAAAAGATTCAACATCAATAGGAACCCTATATTGACCATTTCCAATGGTTCCAGTAATGGTTTGAACATCAAAATCAGTAGAGCATGAATATTAAAACTCACTAACTTGTTTAGGGTAGAATGGCTCTAGGAAGTCGCATAAGGGATATCGAAGCGGGAAACTTTTGACATAGTCAACGAAGTCTTTTCCTGAGTTCATGAAATGCTTTGGGATGTAATCAGAGAACTCCACATTGTTTGCTTGAATGATGATGGGAAAATCATGGGCATGAGGACCTTTGACGACATTAACATTAGGGCCAAACTCATAAAGAGGCTTTGACATTGTGAAAGCTTAAGGAAAATGATGGATGAGAGATCCTTTTTCGAGAGAGAAAGCTAATTCTTGAATAGCCTATAAAAGTGACATAGGATCAAGATTTTCCAATTTATACACAAAGTTTCTTCCCTTTTACGTAACCATGATTGAATCGATATGCGCCGTAAAAATCTCATATTCCAAGATATAGATAAACCTTTTATTCGTCATCTAAAAAATTTCCGTTGAGATGAAGAAACTACATCAGTGATGCATAGCATCAACAACAATGGTCATCAGTGGAAGCAATTAGCCTATTATAGTTGCAACTGATAATCTAGTAAGTTTGTGATGTCTCCTGATAGTATAGGTTTGAACAATCATTCATTGACATAGTATTGCGAGATTTCATTACCATGTGGTTTCATATTCTTACTCATTAATCACTTTTATTAGAAGAAAAGGGGAAGAGTGGTACGATGCATGTAATGCATTCCGGTGTGAAATGTACCCACCGATAAAGAATGTTGAAGTTTTTGTTGGATTAGGTATCTAAGTTCATAACTATTTATGGTATGTACTTGACCCGGTTGGCATGGTCCATTTGGGGTGCATGGCATCGTGACACTTGGATAGACAAAATGAGAAAAGAAGACTTATGGTTTATTAATATATTATAAGTTCTAATATATTGATAATATTATTTTATTAGTATTGATCAAGATTTATTTGGAATTAATTTTGTGATAAAAAAGAGACTAATTAAATATATAGGGTTGATTATGTAAATCATCCATTCTTATATAGTGGGCTAATGGTCCATGGTTTATTGAATTGGGTTAAAACTTATAGGGTGCTCCATGGATAGTCAATGGAGGTTAAAACCCATTGATCATGGAGGAAATGAAAAGCTATGTCAATTAAGGTTTACATGGTGTAACCCTACTTGTGACACACTATATAAAGACCCCATGGACTACCAAAATCGGCACTAAGTAAAGAACAAGAGGGATAACCGATTTTGAGTGTGTGTGTGTGTACTTCACTCAAAGTTATTTCAAGATTTGTGGTGTTGTGTGAAACACTTGAGGCATCACATTTGGGTTTCTAGGATCACAAAGTTCTTAAGGAATCCAAGCAACAAGAAAGGTAAGTTCTTCTACTAGCTTTTATGTTTCAAGTTCCCAATGCCATGCTAGTTAGGTTAAGAACCTTGGAAAAATCAAATTTTCATGTATCTTAGTAAAACATAGATCCAAGGTTTCCAAGGTTGCATGTACACCTTAGGAGTGTTAGAATGCTCAAAACCCTTTAGTGGTATCAGAGCCTAGGCTTGTTTTCTTGATACTTGATTCAAATTGTTGAAGAAACTCGAAATTTTTGCATTCTGCTGAGTGAACTCGCCGAGTCCATGGGGGGACTCAACGAGTCCATGCATATATTCATCCTACTCATTGAGTAGGTTCGTGCACTCGACGAGTAGGAGGCCCAGGGTGCAGTTTTTGGAGTTTTACTGCTGGAAATGGACTAGAATCATTACCTTCAACTGTTTTGGACTTATAAAGCTTGTTTTTGATGTGGTAATGATTATGCTAATCCATTTACAATGGTTATTATCAAAATTTCAAGTTTTATATGTGTTTATATGATTCTTGAAATTTTTGATATGAATGTTCATACACTTATGAGTTCGGTAGATCATCGGAATTACTTGCAAAATTGTTTGTTAGTTTAATTCTTAATCTAAATGTTTTTAATGGAATCCATAACAAGTCTTTCTTTTAAAGTCCATTAAAAACACATAAGTTACATAAAATGAAGTGTCTTCATTTTAACAAAACATTAACTCATAAGTTATGAAGTTGAAAAGTTTTGAATAGTTACAAAACTTGCCCTCATGTTTTGGAGCATGTAAAGTCACTTTAGAAAACTTTAGTTCCAACCCCTAGAATTTTAAAAGTAAAAATTCAACCCTTATACTTTATAATATTATAAGTTAATGTATATATATATATACACACACACACACACACACATATATATATATATATATGTATGTATGTATAAGAACAAGTTGTTTTACCGTTGGTAGGCCCCATTCACAAAGCCGCTCTATAAGGGGGGAATAAGGTTGTTGCCTATAAAATGGCAGCTTAATGGGTGTCCACTCTCACCCACCGTTTCCTTGACTGATGGAGGGTCGTTAGCCGAACGGGTAGGACAATGACTTTAATCCTCATTAAAAGTATAATGATTATAAAGTAACTAAATGTTTTATAAATTCCTAATCTTAGTTACTTTAGGAAAATGTGAATTTGGTGCTAACCCATGAAATTACACTTTTGACCTTGCTTAAGTCGTTAGTGGAGCATGTGTGGTCAACCGAGACACTAACTTGGATTTAACAAGGTTGGCAAATGGTGGCTTAAGGTTTATCATAGATGAGTGGAACGCTTGTGGTTAACCGACACATCGATTAGGTGATAAACATTAAGAGTACCAAGTAAATTTGAATGGTTATTCACACTTTGTTTTGTGATCCTCGGCATCCCAGTCACAAAACTTTAAGGGCACAATCAAGATTGAAAGATGCCATTGAAAAGTTCAATGAATCTCAAAAGAATCTAGGAGTTTCAAAACCAATTAAAACCTAATAATACATTTCGTTTTTCATGGTGGAAATTGATGAATCGTCATTGACCTACCTTTAAATATTTTATAGCTTGGATTACGGCATTCCTCTTCTAAGTTATAAAATATTGTGTTGGTTCCTAGCCTTAAAATTACATTTGGGTGTCTTATTAAGGAATATCTTTATATCTAATCTAAACTTGTCTTTCTTCTTTTTCTGATGTCTTCCAACAATGCTGCTTTTGGCTCAAACCCTACCGACTCCGTCTCTCTCATGAACCTTTGTAAGGGAGTCATCTTTGATGGGACTAATTTCAGTTATTGGATTAAGAACATAAGGATGGTCACTCGCTATGAGGACAAGGAATATTTCCTCGACAAGGAGCTGAAGGATCTTGATCAGTCTACTGCTACTCCCAAGGAGATTGCTGACTTTAGGGCACATGAGAGAGATGCTACCAAAGCAGCATGTATCATGTTGGCCACAATGACAGCTGAGCTCCAAATGTCCTATGAGGACTTTTATCCTTTTGAGATGCACCAGGATTTGATGGACAGATACCATCAGAGTGCACGTCAAGAGTGATATGAAATAATCTCCTCCATGATAACAACCCGAATGAAGGATGGTGAACCCATCATGGGCCACATGCAGAAAATGCAAAGTTTTGTGGACCATCTGCTGAAGTTGAATGTGAACTTCCTCGAGGAGTTGGCTATGGATATCATAATGCGCTCCTTACCTTCTTTTTATGATCAGTTCTGTATGACCTATCATATGAACAAGGAGAAGGTCACACCCAACAAACTTCAAGGACTTTTGAAGACCGCTGAAAGTGGTCTTAAAATTGAATCGGTTCTTACTACTCCTACTCTTACCACCGCCCCTGTTCTAGCTATTGGGCAAGGTAAAGGGAAGAAGAGGAAGAGCCCCTCGATAGGTACCAAAGGAAAGTCTCTTGATGGCTCTTCTTCAAGTAGAACCAAAGGTGGTTCTGTCACTCCTTCTGCAAACCCTTAAGAGGCCGAATGCTTCTATTGCCATGAAAAGGCGCACTGGAAGCGAAACTGACCAAAGTACTCGCAAGATGTTAAGGATGAGAAAGTAAAACCCAACCATGCAGGTATTTACACTATATTGTCTAATAACTCACCCTATTCTAATTCTTGGGTCCTTGATACAGGTTGTGGTATTCACATATGTTCTAATTTGTAGGGACTAATAAGAAGTGAGAATGTGGAGCATGGGAAGATAAAATTAATCATGAGGAATAGGAAAGCTTCACCTGTCACCAAGATTGGAGTTTAATCTTTGTTGCTAAGTAGTGAGTTAACATTAGATTTGAATAAATGTTGTTACTCATTTGAAATGGCGAGAAATATTATTTCCTTTCATGGTTTGTACAAACAAGGATTTACTTTTTCAATTGATAATGAATGTGGTGGTATTAATGCTTTATTTAATAATGTTCTTTATTTTAAAGCATTACCTTGTGATGGTGTATATGAAACTATGTCAGTTGTAGATAACGTAGGAAATAATGTGTTGTGTATCGATTCTTCCACTAGGTTGGATAAAGAATCATTATGGCATTGTCGTCTTGGACATGTGAGCAAGAAACGCATAGGCCAACTCCAAAGGATGGAGTCTTGGAGTCATTTGACCTAAAGTCAGATGATAGTTGTAAATCTTGTTTACTTGGAAAAATGACAAAGTCACCCTTCACTGGTACTTGTTCTAGGGGTGAAGGTTTGTTGGATCTTGTACACACAGATGTGTGTGGACCCTTTAGAACCACCACAAGGGATGCTAACCGCTTCTATGTGACTTTTACTGATGATTACAGTAGATATGGTTATGTCTACTTAATAAATCATAAGTTAGAAACCTTTCAAAAGCTCAAAAAGTTTAAACAGGAAGTGGAGAATCAGCTGGGCAGGAACATTAATATACTTCGATCCAATCGAGGTGGTGAGTATCTTAGTACAAAGTTCCTTGACTATCTTAAGGAATGTGGGATTGTATCACAATTGACACCTCCCAGAACACCATAGCTTAATGGTGTGGCTGAGAGGCATAATTGAACCTTTTTGGTTATGGTTCGTTCCATGATGAGTTGATCTTCGCTACCAATCTCATTTTGGGCGTATGCCTTAAAAACAGCTGCCCATATCCTTAATCTAGTCCCTACCAAAAAGGTTGCCAAAAAACCTCATGAGATATGGACTAGGAATGTTCCTAGTTTGGACCACATCAGGATTTGGGGGTTGCGAGGCTTTCGTGAGGCGCGAGACTCATGATAAGCTCAAACCTCGGAGTGAGCGATGTATTTTCATCGGCTTCCCACATAAATCATTTGGTTACCTCTTCTATAGACCCATTGATAATGTGGCCT